AGTTGACCTGATAACAGGTCATCTTGGTCATGTCAGCAGTCTGATTGATTATTATCTCCATCCTAGTTCTACAAAATGTTCCGGAGAGATTGTTACCACTGCCACCCCTTAAGGGGAGCCATCTTTTTCCCGTGAAATGATCACTGAGCTGCAGTCTCACAGACATGTATAATTGATATCATTGTAGGGATGATCTGTCTAATGAGGCTCACTGTTACTTAGGGATAGCTTCAGTCTCTCATCTAAAATGTTTATCAGTCAGTCCTATCATTCCTGGCAACTGAAGTAACTGCAGAAGAGAGTGAGTTGGGGGGGGGGGGAATTAGATGCACAATGGAGCCAGAGAGGAACAAAACGGAATCAGTTAGACCAGGGACTGACACCCACACTCAGGAGCTGATTCAGATGCCCTCAAATCCAATAAACAAAATGAGAATAAAAAGCATAACAAAAATGCTTTATGTTGCATTAATTTTCAGTCTTCCGCTGAGGAAACATTACAAAAATAAAAGGGAAATTGAGAGAAAGATGGTCCAGATAAATATGACACTTTCAGGGTACAGGAAATTCTGCTGTCATATAATATATATAAAGATAGTACAGAGAAAAGACATTAAACTTATGGAGAAATATGGCTAGGGCACAATATTGAAAATAATTACTATGGACACATTAAAAGTAAGGATAGGAGCCTAATTTGTATTAGTGATGAAATTTTAAAATATTTTAAAGGCTCTTTTTTTTTGGTCTTTTTCAGAGAGGGGCTTCCTGTAGCTCCAGCTGGCCTAGACCTCACAATGGAGAACTGGCTGACTTCAATCTTACAGAGATCAGCCTGCCTCTGCCTCCCAACTGCTAAGATTAAAGACATGCACCACCACACCCAGCAAAGGCTTTTTATTTAAATTTTGAGAATTTCACACTTGAGTATTGTTTTTACACCATTTCCACCCTTCACTCTCCCTCCCCAACTCCCCTCTCCAACATCCCCGATGCCTCCTACTCCCTCTCAAACACATGACCACTTCTAATTTAATTACTATATAAGATATATGTATTTATGTATAAACCTACTGAGTCCATTTAGTGTTGCTCCATGTGTACATTTGTTTAGGGCTGACCACTTGGGATTGGGTAACCTATCAAGGAGCTCATCCCTGGAGAAAACTGATTCTCCCTCTCTCAGCATCCATTGATTGCCTGGAGCTCTTCATCTAGAAGTGGCACCTTGTGAAATTTTCCACAACCACATTGTCATGTCAACTGGTGGTGTCAGTATGCGGGTCTTCTTTACGTATCCATGCTGTTGAGATTTCATGGGTACAGCTTCTCTGTCATGTTTGGCAGGCACTGTCAAGCAACAAGTATCATGATTTTCTGGCATTTACAATCTTTTCACCAAGAGCCTCATTTCTTTGTTTGTCGTTGTTGTTGTTGTTGTTGTTGTTGTTTTGGGTTTGTTGGTGGTGGTGGTGGTGGTGGGATTTTTGTCTTTTTGAGACAGGGTCTCCCTGTAGCCCCAGCTAACCTGCAACTTGCTATGTAGATCAGGCTGGCCTTGATCTCACAGAGATCCACCTGCCTCTGCCTCCCAAGCACTGGGATTAAAGGCGTGCATCACTACACCCAGCTGGAACTTAATTTTTTAAAAATAAAAATAAAGCCAAGTGTGTAAGTATATGCCTGTAATCCTAGCACTTGAGAGGATGAAAAGTTTAAGATTGAATTTCTCTGAACATACATGTAAAATTTCTCAGTAAAATACTTGCAAACAGAGTGTAAGAATATATTAAAGAGACTGCAGAGATTGCTCAGTGGTTAAGAGCACTGGCTGCTCTTACTGAAGACCCAGGTCCTATTCCCAGTAATCCACCTTAAGTCCAGTTGTACACTTGCATATATGCAGGTGAAACACTCATATACATAAAATAAATAATGCAAACAAATATTTTAAAATAATATATTAAGATCATATACATGACCAAGTTGTTCCATTCCAGGGAGGCAAGTATGGTTAAACACACACAAATACCTGTAATACAGCAGAAATAGGCTTGAGGACAGAAATCACATGACCATGTTAATAAATGTAACCTATGACAAAGTTCAATATCCCTTCATGATAAAACACTGAAGATGCTAGGACTAGAAAGAACCTCAACATAATCAAGGTTATATCTGACAAACTGATAGGATTATACTAAATGAGAAAAACATGAAAAAATTCCCTGTTATCAACAAGAATATGATAAGAATGCTCACTCTACTCCTAATATGATACACTGATTCTTAGCTAGAGCAATAAAACAAGAGAAAGAAATAAAAGAGATACAAAAAAGTCAAAGCATCCCCTATTTACAGACATGATCCTGTACTTAAAGGACCCTAAAGACTCTACCAGAAAAACATAGGTTCAGTAAACAATTTCAACAAAGTAACAACACACAAAACCAACGTGAAAAATCTTTCTATATACCAATAACAAGCTTGCTAAGAAAGATATCAGGAAAAACATGCCATTCGCTATCCCATCAAAATAAAATACCTAGAAGTAAACCTAACAAGGATGTAAAAGACCTCTACAATGAAACCGTTAAGACACTCAAGTAATTTTAGAAGACACTAGAAAATGGAAAGACCTGCTATACTCATGAACTGGCAGAATTAATATTATTAAAAAGTCCTTATTATAAAAAGTGATCCATATTAAAATTTCAATATAATTCTCCATAGAAATAGAAAATAAATACTAAATCTCAAATTGCACTACAGATTCATTTTAATAAAGTCAGCATGGTACCTGCACAAAAAGACACAAAAGTCAATGAAAAAAATGAAGGATCAGGAAATAAGCCTCTACAGGTATAGACACCTAATCTTTGACAAAGTCATCAAAATCATAAACTGGGAGTGAGGGGAAAAAAGCATAAATTGAGGAAGGGAAACCTCTTCAGTAAATGGTGCTCAGAAAATTTGAAATCCACACGTAAAATAATGAAATGAGATCTGTATTTTTAACCTTGCACAAAAATCTATTCAAGGTCAATCAAAGACTTTAACATAAGACACAAAACTCTTGATATTTCTAGAAGAAAACCTAGGCAAATGTTCAAGACATGTATCATTAAAAGGACTCAAATAATACAGAAAATAATCCCAAGAATTGGCAAATGGGATTGATGTGAAATTTTAAAACTTCAGCATGACAAAGGAAAGGATTAGCTGAGTAGAGAGATAGTCCACAGAATAGTATAAATATTTTCCAGCTACACATCTGATAATGAGTTGATATTTATAATCTATGGAGAACCAAAAAACTTACTAATATCACAAATCATCCAGTCAATAATTTGGCTAATAAACTGATAGTTCTCAAAGGAAGAAATAGAATTGGCCAACAAATACTTTTCAGCATAAGGAAAATACAAATTAAAACTACTTTGAGAGTCCGTCTCACCCCAAGGAGAATGATATTGCCAAGCAAATGGTGGTGAGAATGTCTAGAAAGACGAACCCTTAGGAACTTCTGGTGGGAATGCAAACGGGTATAGCCACTATGGAAATTAGAGTGGTGGTTCCTCACAAAACTAAAATTGGAACTACCATATGATCCAGCTAGACTCCTGTGTATATACTAAAAGGACTCCATATTAGCATACTGCAGAGATATTTGCACATCCATGTTTATTGAAGCATGATTCACAATAGTCAGAATACAGAATCAACCTACATGTCCATCAACAGACAAAAGGATAAAGAAACTGTGATACAAGTATACAATGGAATTTTGTTCAGCTCTAATGAAGAATGAAATTATGACATTTTTAGGAAAATGGATGAAACTACAGATCATTGTATTAAGCAAAATAAGCCAGAAAGACAAATGCCACTGTTTCTGCCCTATGTGGAATCTAAATTTAAACTCAATATGTGTGTTTGTACACGTGTGTACATATATACTGATGAAAGAATGTGATTATGAGAAGGGAGGCAGGGTTTAAAGGGAGGAGAAAGAGGGCTCAGTAGAGGGCAATGGAGCACATGTATCATGAAAGCAAAAGGAAAGACAAGCTAGAAGGGAGGAAAGGGGATGGGCAAGATGGGTGAAAGGCATTAGAAAAAGCATAATGGTATACATATGTGAAGATGTCACTGTAAAGTCCATTTCTCTGTGTGATAACCAAAATTAAAAATAAAAGGGGTGGTTGTAATCAACCTGGGCTACATAGCAAGACCCTGTTTTAAGTACACAAATAACTAATAAAATTAAAATGCAAAATATGATTAATGAAAAATTACAGAGTACAAAAATAAGGCACTTTATCTTGCAATTCCTGCATTTAGTTGTAAATATGAGTTATGTAGTGGTGGAGGAAGGGAGGGTTGTCAGAAGTCCAGCGGACACTGGCAGCACCAGATCTGGACAGAGTAGCCACAGCACACTGTAAACTGAGGTGGCTGGTAGCTGTCTGTGTGCATGTTCTCACTTTGTGCTCTCTGATATGACTTAGATCAACTGCACACCTTTCCTCTCCCAAAAGAAGCTTCACACAAGAAAACACAAAATTTTTGCATGCTAAAAGTATTCATAATACAACAATCTCATCAGTCTCACCAGAAAAAAAAAAAAAAACTGCATTTCCAACCCAAGCTTGAGTGCAAATTAACTGTACTTTTGGTTCTAAGGTCAGAGGCCCTGTAGCTTTTCATAGTTTTCATTTTTCATTTTTTTTTTCATAGTTTTCCACTATCCTGTACTCCAGGAACCTTTATCTTTTTTCCCCTGAAGTTGGTTAGGGCCTCTCTAGCCTGATTGTGAAGCATGAAAACCCAGTCTTTACCCTACCTGCTGTCACTGTTTATAATATACCTGCCTGTGAGATAAGACTTCCTCCTGGAGCTGTGCTTCAGCATTGGGTGCCTCTTTGGGGAGTGGGGGGTGTCTCTGATTGTTGCTCACTCTGTATCCACTTTATCCACTTTTGCCTTTAATCTTTCAGGTTCTGGGAATGTCTGTGATGAATAAGGTATGAGATGGTTGGTATTTGATAGATGTAGATAGTTGATGATAGATGATTGATAGATAGATAGATAATAGATAGATAGATGATAGATAGATAGATAGATAGATAGATAGATAGATAGATAGATAGATAATGATGATGAAGATAGATAGATAGATAGATAGATGATAGATAGATAGATAGATGATAGGATAGATAGATGATAGATAGATGAAATGATAGATGATGATAGATAGATAGATGATGACAGATGGATAGATATATAGATGATAGATAGATAGATGATAGATAGATAGATAGTGATGATTGATAGATAGATTATGATGATAGATAGATGATGATGATAGATAGGATAGATAGATAGATAGATGATAGATAGATAGTAGATAGATAGATAGATGATAGATAGATAGTAGATAGATAGGTAAATAGATGATACATAGATGATACATAGATACATAAATACGTAGATAATACATAGATGATAGATATACATACATGCATCCATATATTCCCTGGAAAATAAGCTAAGTGCATATAACCCCTTGAATCCATTCCAGTGGAAAGGATCCTGATATATAACTAATTAATTCCATTTGAAGCCGCATTCCATAAGCCTAATCTAAGAACAAAGAGCTACACACTCTGGCTCCAGGTGGTTTAGAAGCTGAGTTATAAAATCATTGCAGTGGTTTTCAAACTGTGGGTTGTGACTCTCCTCCAAGCCCTCAAGTGGACCATGAAATAAAGTCACAAAAAGCAAAAATGTTTAATGAAATAAAGTAAAAGTGAAAAATTAAGAGTACATTGCACACAGCAATAGTATTATTAAACTTTTATTCTACTTGTAGATCAGCTATTTATTGTGCAAGTAAGTCTTAAGTGGAATGGTTTTACTTACTACTGTAGTTTATGGTTAAAAAAAAGTTTGGAAACCACTGCTCTAGAGAAAATTCAATCCACAGTAGGGGGATATTGACCCTCATGTCCTAACTTCCCTGCAACTTAGATCCTATGTGGGAAGTAGAGATGACAAGGGAGTAAATACGTCAAACCTGGGTCATGCATTTGTAGACCCAGCTGTGGTGTCCAAGATTTTGGCTTGCACTGGGGCTCATTTTGCTTTAGGACATGGATCTGCAAATGAGTTTCACAAGAAGCATCACTGAGGTTGGCATCGCTGTCCAAGATGCTGAAGACCAGCAGTTCCAGTTTTCCTATAAAGGGATGCTGATCGGTTACATGCTGGTGAGTGTGTGAGTGTGCAAGGAAGAAAGGGGAACTGAATATTCCATATAAAAGTGGATGACATTCAGCGGTGCCACAAAACAAATCTTCCGTCCTTCTGATCCGTGGCACCCAAAGTCCCTAGCTACATCTGTGAACTCACCTGAGCTTTTCTGAAAATTCTCACCTCATTTTTGTTTTGCAGAACTTGGTAAGGGATGAACCCCTGAACTCCTTAGCTAGTCCTGTTCGGTGGAAAGCCTTAATCGCCATCAGATACTTAAGGTAGAATACTTTGTTATTCTTTATTTGAGTGTTATACATGTATGTGCACATGTATGTGCAGATGCTCATGCCTATGGGGCAGGGGTGGATGTGGGGTGTCTTCCTCAATAGCAGTCCACCTCATGTATTTTGGCTGGATCTCTTGCTGAACCTGGAACCCACTCTTTCAACTAGACTGGCTACCCAGAAAGGCCCCTGTCTCTGGACACCCCAACGCTGGGGTTACAGGTACACACAACCAACCTCATCTTTTGTACATGGGTCCTGGGGATCTGCTAGTTGGAATCTAAGGACCCAAACTCAGGTCTTCATGTTTGCATAGCAAGCACTTTATTCACTGAACCATGTGCCAACCTCAAATCTTTGTTACTCTTGTTGAAAGTATTTCCTTCCTTTCAGCCTCCCCCCCAAACTGAACATACTTCAATAGCAGGGATTACAAGCAGCAGCTTTTTCTCCTTCCAAAGAGTTACTAAACTGTCTAAGACATTGATCACTTGATTACTGACAGGGTCAAAGAGCTACTCAGAAGAATCAGATTTATTGACAGATGAGACTAAAATTTCCGAAGAAAAGGACGTTTCTCATCTGAGATCTTAGCCTATAGGCAAAGTTTAATATTCTAATTAAAAAGTTATGAAAGCACTAACCACATTCTAGTTGGTTAAGTGATAAGCTTATAAAAGAAACAGAAAATAATTTTGTGTAAGTTTTTATAATCATATTCTCCACTGCAGTTAAAGAAGTACACGTTTACTCTTAAAATCTGAAAAGTAGAGAAAAGTTAACATACCAAAGATCACCCATAATGCCCCTATGACATTTTGACACATCCTTATCCCTAGCTCTCTCCTTTCATCATCTGTTTTCACATGACCTTTCACCCTGCTCTTTCTCACTTCCTCCTGAGGATTCTTCACAAATTTCTTTCTCTTTATTTTTACTGAATTTTTTCATACAATATATATTGATCATATTCAGATCCCCCCCTAACTGTACCCTCCTTACTACCATACCCCCCGTTGAATTTCATTTCATGTCATGTGTGTGTATGTGCCTATAAAGTCAAATTTGTGTCCCCAATTGCCCTTTGATGTAGGTCTTTCCACTGGAGCCTAGTTAACCTACCAAGAGTCATACCCTTAAATGAGATTGATTCTCCCCCATCCCACCATTGGGTGCTAACAGTTCCCATGTAGGGTTTTTGTTTTTTTTTTCTTTTACTTATTTGTGTGTAGGGGGAGGTATATCTAACAATCATATCTAAAAAATGCTCAGGATCACTAATTATCAAAGGCATGGTAACCAAAAACCCACTGTAAAATATCACCTCACCCATTTGGAAGGTATGAATATTTGTGCATTATGGAAAATGGTGTGAACATTTCTATAGAAATTAAAAATAGAATTATCTTATGACCCAGCAATCCCTCTTACTAGTCTATATCCAAGGGAAAGGAGATCACCACCTCATAAAGATATCACACTCTAATACTCATTGCAGAGTCATTCATAAAAACCATGGAAGGAAAGGAACCCAGAAATCTATCCATGGAAGAGTATATAAAAAGCTGCGAGGAACATATGCAATAGAATATTACTGAGTTTTTTAAATTAGGATATCTTCTGATTTATCATGACATGAATTAACCTAGAGGACATTATGCTAAATAAAATAAGCCAAACAGAAAGAAAAAGGGTCTTCCTGATATGGCAGATCCAAAGAAAGAGGTCAAATACACAGAAATAAGGAATAAAACAATGGTTACTGTCTTAGTTTGGTTTCTGTTGTTGTAATAAAACTGATCAAAGAGCTGGAGAGATGGTTTAGCTGTTAAGGGCACTGGCTGCTCTTGCAGAGGACCTGGGTTCAGGTTCAATTCCTAGCGCCCACATGATGGCTAACAATCGTCCATAACTCCAGTTCCAGGGGCTCTGATGCCTTCTTCTGACCTTCATGGGCATTGCAGGACACAGGTGCACTTACATATATGCAGGCAATACACTCATACACATAAAAATAATAATAAAATTTTCAAAAAACACTGATCAAAAGCAACTTGGGAAGGAAAGGGTTTATTTGAACTGCAGGTTATAGTTCATCATCAAGGGAAGCCAAAGAAGGAACTTAAGGCAAGAGCCTTAGAGAAACCAATGGAGGAAGGCTGCTTACTGGCTTGCCCAGATACCTTTACTATGCAGCCCAGGCCTACTTGCCCAGTGTTGGCACTGCCTACAGAGGGCTAGGTCCTCCTACATCAATCAACAATTAAGAAAATGCCCCAGGCATACTTACGGATGCTATTCCTCAAGTGAAGGTCCCTCTTCTCATCATCTTGGTGAAGCCCATTCTGAGTCCTGACATGACCAAAGCCAAGTGGAGAGTGGGCAAGCTCTACTGTGCCTGGTATTGGGAGGTGCCAAACACTGTGCACTTCCACCATGAAACAGGGAAGAGATAAAGTCAGAGAAATCTTTATAATGAATGTCCATGTCACAGACCCCAGGGTGGTTATTCTTCTGGTCATTCAGGGAACGATGGAGCTGTAGGAAACCATTAAACTGTGGAAACAGCAGTCACATGTTATGCCATTCTTTCATGAAACAGAAACATCAAGGCCAAAGGATTTCCGGTCCAAGTTCTACATTGGCCATGATCAATGAAGTCACTCAGTGGATAGATGCGTGTTCATACTTATACTACAGTTCAAATAAACTGATGGTTGCTTTGTGATAAAATTGCGTTCGTGTACTGAAAAAAAAAAAAAAAGATCTGTAGAAGTGAAACCTTTGCTGCGCTGGGACAATGGATGCTGGGGTTGAAAAATCAACTCTGATTAGAGGCCAGCATCACTGAGGTGAAATCTAGGAAGGATTTCCTCAGAGTCAACACACAGAAGCTGTGGTCCAGAGAGGGCCAAGGTTGCATCTCAAGCTAGAAGCAGGCCTTGGTAATGTGTAAGAATCTCTCTGATGGTACTTGTTTTAGCAGCATGAAAGCTGCAGAATTGGAGTAGTGGAGAGAAGAGGCTTGGCACTGTGTGAGGCCAGAGGAGGCCACTGATGAAGGTGCAACTTCAGTTGCAGTGGACACCCCAGTATATTGGAGATGCCAGAACTATGGGATGACCACCACCACCAGCAGAAACTGTGAAGTGGAGCTGGTTCAAGCCTTTGAGACAAGTTGTGTATGCTGTGGATGACAGAGCTGGAGAAAGGTAACTACCCAAGCCTTCTGGAGCCCAGAAGATCGTGAGTGAATCCGAGGAGTTGGACAATGAGTTACACTGCTGAACTTTGGTTTCTCTTAAGTGTGCCCAGTTATTCCCTTTTGAAATAAAGTGTTTAACATTCTTTTTATTTACAGGAGCCCACAGTTAAGAGACATTGGATTTTTAAAGGGACATTAAACCTAAATTTGATTAAGATGAATTATATGAAATGCACAAAAACTCAATAAAAATATTGAAATTTTTTAAAATTAAAGCACTGAAAATGTTTTAATATTTTATTTTTATTATTTTTATTTTATGTGTATGAATGGATTGCCTTCATGTGTGTAAGTGTGCCGATATCATGCAATGCCTGTGGAGGTCGGAAGACAGTGTTGGATTCCTCTCGAACTGGAGTTACAGATACTTGTTAGCCACCATGTGGGTGCTGGGAATTGAACCTGGGTCCTCTGCAGGAGCAGTCATTGCTCTTAACCACTGAATCACCTCTCCAGGCCCCAGTACTGAAATTTTTAAGGCTTGTGGGACTTTTAAAGCTGTACTAAATTTTATATTGTAATATAAATATTTAGCATGACATTTGGGGGATAAGAAACAAAAAGGTCATGGTTTAATAGTGATATGTTTGTGTGTCAAGTTGACAAGGGGTCAATTGTGCTGGATAATTTCAATTGTCAACTTGACACACCTGGAAAGAAGTGACCTCAGTTGAAGAATTTTCTTTATGTGATTGGTCTGTGGCCATGTTTTTGAGGCATTTTCTTGATTGTTGGGTGAGTGGGAGGGCCCAGTCCACTGTGGGTAGTGCCACCCCTGAGCAGGTGGTCCTAGGTTGTATAAGAAAGCAGGCTGAAAGGGTGGAATGATGACTCAGTGGTTAGGAACGCTGGCTGCTCTTGCAGAAGACGGGGTTGAATCCTGGTACCCACATGGTGGCTAACAACTGTCTGTAACTCCAGTTTTAGGGAATGGAGATCTGAGGCCCTCTTTTGTCCTCCCCAGGCATTGCATGACATGGGCGCACTTAAATACATGCAGGCAATACACTCATACACATGAACTTAAAATAAGTAAATAAAAAGTAATTAATTAATTAATTAATTAATGATAAATAGATTTTAAAAGAAAGTAGGCTGAGCACAGGCCAGGGGAGCTTTCCAGTAAACCACATTCCTCCATGGTCTGTACTTCCATTTGTGTTCCCCAGGTTCCTGCCTTAGTTCTTGCCCTGACCTAGGAGTTAGAAGATGATTTAAACCCTTTCCTTCCCCAAGATGGTTTTCATCAGTATTTTATCACAGCACTAGAGAAACAAACAAGGACATATGATAGCTCTATTTTTAATTTTTTGAGTACACTCTAAACTGATTTTCATAATGGCTGTACCAGTTTTTTACTCCCACCACAGTGGGTTTCTCTTTCTTCACATCCTCTCCAATCTATTCTGACTTAGGTAAGGTGGTACCTCAAAGTAGTTTTAATTTACATTTCCCTGATGGCTAAGGATGTTGAACTCTTTTTAAAATAGTTGATCATTTGTATTTCCTTTTCTGAAAACTGTCTATTCAACTCATTGGCCCATTTGTTGATTGATAATTTTTTACTTTATGTTTAACTTTTGTAATTATTTGTATATTCTGGATATTGACCCCTTGTCTGTGGTATAGTTGGTAAAGATTTTGTCCCTTCTGTGTGTTGTCTGCATGCTCTACTGATAGTTTCCGTTGCAGTGCAGAAACTTTTTTAATTTCATATAGTCCCATCTGT